AGGCCCAGCTGACTAGCCTGCGTGGCAGCTCCGATTCGAAACGAGTGTGTGGTGTACAAACCCGGAGACAACCCAAGACTAACCACCCCTGCCCGGAGAACCCTGGCGAACTGAAACCGGCTGAGCGCTGACCCATCCCGATGCCGCAACAGGGATCCTGCCTCCGATCCTCGCACCGCCAAGAAATCCCGCAGCAACTTAACAGGGCAAAACTGCTCACCAGTAGCCATAATCCGAACCGATGCGCCCACACCTACCTGATCTGTCTTAGATTTACGAATGATCAACTCCATGTCACCCGTCGAGACCGTGACATCAGCAAGTTGCATGGCAGCTGGCCCCCGCGTACTCGGTGCCACCAGCTCGCCTATCCGAAGAGCCGCAAAAAAGCAGACAGCAAACGCGGCCCGAAACAGGAGAACCTCATAGCCCGAAACACAAATCTGGGGCAGACGCTCCAGGAGTCTGCACAAGATCTCATAGGAGATGGGACGCCGAGCGTCCCGCCTACGACCCTTCTTCCAGCCCTTCATGATCCGCGAAATGCAGAATGACTTGGTCGCATCCTGCCACCCACACCACTGGAACAGAAAAGACAGGGCCGCTAACGCCCTCTCTGCTGCCGCTACCGACTTACCCTTCTCGCAGAGTGACTCCAAAAAGGCCAGAGTCGCTCCCAGCCTACCTTCGTCCGTAGACGCCTCCCTGTCCTTGCAGACACCTGTCCACTGCCGCCAGACCGCAGAATACGACTTCCACGTCGACTCCGCCAGCGACTCTCTCGCCAACCGGCTCAAATGGTGGAAACCAGGTCCCATATATCCTCCGGGCACGAGGTGCCAGCCTGCTCCGCCTCTGGAGCCGCCGCCCGAAACCTGTCCCACTGAAACCGAGAGAGAGAGTCGGCTATAACGTTCCGCTCCCCAGGCACATGGCGCGCAACCAACCACAAATTATGTGCTAAGCTAAGCAGGACCAAGCGCCGGAGGAGCGTCAAAACCGGAGGCGACGCAGACGTAGATCGGTTGATCACATGGACCACACTCATGTTGTCCGTGTGCACCACTACCTTCCGATTCGACAGCTCCACACCCCAGAGCTCCACAGCCACCACAATGGGAAAGAGCTCCAGAAACGTCAAGTTACTCACCAATTCCGTGTCTCGCCAGTGTCGGGGCCAGGCCTCCGCGCACCACCGCCCCTGAAAGTAGGCACCAAAACCCACAGACCCAGACGCGTCCGTGTATAATTCTAAATCCGTATTGGACACCGCCGGGCGCAGCCAGCAGGATTGCCCGTTGTACATACCCAGAAACGAACTCCAAACTTGCAGATCCTCTCGATGCCGGTGATTGATTCGAATGAAGTGAAATGGCTGCCTGACTCCGACCGTTGCCAAGGACAAACGACGGCAAAAAGCCCTGCCAATCGGCAATACCCGACAGGCAAAGTTCAGATGCCCTAACAGGGCCTGCAACTGCCGAAGCTGCACTTTTTTGGCCCCTTTAGCCGAATCCACCAGCCGCAGCAGGTAAGTCAGCTTGTCGTCCGGCAAGCGGAAAACCATGCTCCACGTGTCCACTTCAATCCCTAAGTAGGACAGGACTCCCACCGGACCCACCGTCTTCTCAGCTGCTATCGGCACACCAAAATCCGCAGCGACGGCCCGAACGGAATCCAAGAGCCCCACGCAGTCATCCGACTCCCGCGGGCCCACAAACAAAAAATCGTCAAGGTAATGAGTTAGGGACTCTATCCCCGCAACCCGAGCGACCACCCATTCCAAAAACGATGCAAACATTTCAAAGTAAGAACAAGATATAGCGCAGCCCATAGGCAAACACATATCAAAGAAAAAGGAACCTTGAAACCGACAACCCAACAGGTGAAAACAGTCCGGGTGGACCGGGAGCAGGCGAAAAGCCGACTCGATGTCCGACTTCGCCAACAGAGCTCCCTTCCCTGCCTCCCGGACCAACTCTAACGCCCGATCAAACGAGGCGTAACGAACATGTGATTCTTCCTTGTCAATGTCATCATTCACCGACCCACCCGAGGGATAGGACAAGTGGTGAATGAGACGGAAGGATCCAGGCTCTTTCTTAGGAACTAACCCCAGCGGGGATACCCGCAAATTGGGAAATGGAGGCGAGTCAAACGGACCCGCCATCCTGCCCAAACAAACTTCCTTCCTCAACTTATCCTCTAAGATAGACTCTTTACCCACCACCGAACGCAGGTTATCTGCCAGGGAAGGGGAATCCGAACGAACAAACGGAATCCAAAACCCTGTCGAAAACCCCTCTAGCAGAACCCCTGCATCCTTACGCTTGGGATACCGGTCGAGCCAAGGGCGCATCCTTAGCACGCTCACCGGAGTCCTCCCCTCTAGGGAGATCCTCCCTATTGGATCTTCCACCATGCTTGCCCTTCTTGAAACAGCGCAGCGCAGGGTGGGCTCCTCCACAATGAGAGCACTCATGCTTGAAACGGCATGATCCAAACCACTTGCAGTGACTCTCATTGTAGAGCCAGCAGACCCCCCTGCGCTGCCCAGCCGGCGCACTGGACGGCACGCCGGCTGCTCCTGGAAAGGGGGACGGACGACTAGGGGTCATCAGCAAGAGCCAAAGGCTCCCGTCCTGGACCCCAAAATCCATACCCGAACACACCGCCATCTTCTGGCGAAATTGTTGGTCATACCGAAACCAACATTGTCCCCCATAAACCTTGTACGCCCCCCATATGAGGTCTAGATACCCAAACAACGCTGGTGCCTTCTCCGGGAAGGCCCGCGTCATCACACTTGCAAAAATGGAGAACCCTTGCAGCCAGTTCCCAAACGTACGCAGCAGATGCTTACCTCTGTCGCCGTCCACCGAATCCCGGTCCGGAGGGACCAGGGACAGTAAATCTACGTATTCACCTTTAACAATCCTCTCTTTCACCTCCAAAGCCACGTGCATCCCAAGTGGGGACAGCTCGCAACCTGGCAAGCACTGCGCCCTACCTGACCGAATACAATGACCTTTTTCCTGAGCATGGGCCTGCGCAGGGAGAGAAACTGGGACAGACAAAGGGCCCCCCCCTGGGAGTCTATCTAACACGGCCTTCAGCAACCCCAGAACCTCCCCATTAAACCCACTATCTACCCTATCCCCAGCTAGCACATGCCAAGCGCTAGCGCAACACTTACCGCTGGCTGGCTGAGGATGCTGGGTCTCACCATCATCAGAACCGGAACTGGACCCCAATCCCAGGGGTGATTCACGGCCGGCCTCCTGGCCCGACCGCAATCTTCCTTCCAGGGTGCTGCTGCTGCCACTCCTGTGGCCTCTCCGGCTTCCGGTGGCCCTCCTGGGCTCTTCTGCCGGAACCACGCTGGAACGCAAGGACTGTGACGTCCGCGCTCTCCTGCGCGGTGACGTCACGTACGCGCCTTGCGTGATGACGATCCTTCCGGCCGCGTCCGCGTCACGCACCGAGCGTGCTGACGCGACTTCCGGGCCGGCCGGAAGAGAAGAGCGCGGAGAGCGCGATCTTCCCGCCCTTTCGGCAACCAGGCTTCCGCCGCCATCTTGGACCTGGACACAACCACCGGCCTCACCGGAACGGATCCTCCTCCTCCCAGGTACCGGACTCCGGAGCGGTCGCACGGCCGAGCCGCCACTTCTTCACCTCCTCTGACGCTGAACTGGACTGGGAGAAAGACGCGACGGAGGCCTCGATCTCCTGGCCCTCCGTCCGTCTCGGCATGCAGACTGACCGGCCCTTACATCCTGGGGGACATTCCTCACGCCCGACACCAGCTCCTCCAGGGCCCCTTGTCCATGGGTCTCCAGGTAAGACTGCAGAAGTCTCTGCAAAGCAGCTCCAGTGTCAGCCATAATTGCTGCAAGTGGACCGTCAGTATCAGTAGAATGCGCTGTTTAGGTGATAATCAAAAAAAGAATTTTTTTTTTTTTTTTTTTAATTCTAACTGTTTGTCTTGAATTACAGGGCCAGTCAGGTAAGAAAACAGCCAAGATCCCTCAATGAACCTGCTGACTGGTAAGTCCCCTCCCTCTCCCTTTCCTTAAGAACCACAAATGTATCAATCTTAACCCAGCCCCCAATCTTGGGCAGCAGTCATGCTCCCCCTTCCTTATTCTTCCAGGGGGAAACTGCCAGAAAGATATAGTAGTTTTGGTGCTTAGTTCCCCGTTAAGATCTTTAGCGCTAGTGATGCCTGTTGACATTCAGAAGGTCACCCAATCATGGTTTAACTACTGTTTTATGTAATGTAAACATGGTTTTAAAATGATAAGCGTAATTCAACGTGAATATAAATGCTTCTTATCAATATTGTATTGTTAAAAGTTAACTTCTTTTTGAAGGACTCAAATCCAACCCATGTAACTTTATTACAGATTTACAAATGATCCCAAGTACCAGTCTGCCCTCTCCTTTGCCAGCTGATATGCCAGCCATTGTTCAGCCACAGTACCAGTCTCTTCAATCTCACTGCTTTCCAAACTACTGTATTTGCCAGTTTGTCAACTCTCCAAACTCCTATATGAGCCAGTAAATCTAAGCCTCTCCAACCAAATCTACTGACAGAAAAAGTTATTTCTAGAAGCCATACAACTCTTAATACAATGTGATCGGAATTTCAACATATGTGAGATGAAAAAACACTGTATGCACACATATATATGCACTTCATGTATACAGGCTCTCTGCCTAGGTGTTCTCTTTGACTTCAACCTCTCCTTCACTCTTCATGTCCAGTCAATTGCGAAATCCTGCCGCTTCTATCTCAAAAATATTTTGCGATCCACCCTTATTTAACACCAGACACGGTTAAGGTGCTGGTCCATGCCACTATAACCTCTCGCCTTGGCCATTACTTACTAGTAAATTACTATGTACTGTCTCTTCCTATAGCTATGGAGAGAGAGAGAGGGAGACAGAGTGTGTGTGTATATATATATAACGTAATAAAAAAATTCTATAAACAAGATATACGTGTGTGTGTATGTGTGTGTGTGTATATATATATATATACACACACACACATATATATATATATATATATATATATATATATATATATATATATATATATATATACACACACACATACACACACACGTATATCTTGTTTATAGAATTTTTTTATTACGTTTTGCTGAAGATTTTTTTTTGGTGGACTATAAAAAATAAAATAGATTAAAAAATGAAAGTAAAAAATGCTCTTTTTCACCAAGAGGTGGATTGTACATTTATTTTTGTTTAGTTGTTCCTGCTGCTTTAACCCTGTGTGCGGAGAGTTAAAAGTGAGCTAAAAGTGAGTCAGGAGTAGCTGACATGGTTGCAGTCTATCAGTATCTTGAGGCTTTAACCCTTTGCACACTGTGTGCCAAGAGCCAATAGAGTAGCTGGCATGT